AATTAGAAGCTGTAAAAACATGGTGCTGAGACTATTAATCTGAACTGTGTTATTAGGTACAGGTTTTCTAGTCGTAGTCAGTGAGATGGTGGTTGGACACACACTGAGTGATGTGACTGATACTCCATCACAATGGTTGAGTTGGATTTATTCTTTATCCTTCCTTAGATCCTTAGTTTCAAATTATTTTATAACTTTAATTTTTCGAATTCACTTTTTCTCCTTGAATTAGCCAGACAAACAGATACAACGCAGAACTTCGTACGTATGTACATCAGTTCAGGTTGCCATACTACATCGGCACAGAGACGCAACTGTCAGTGCAAATCCAAGAGTGATAGTGATAGTAGAAGTATTAGCAGTAATGGAGAAGATTAGGAAGCGAAATTATGATTCGACAAGTATAATTCAGTGAGATAAATTTAGAAGGAGAAAGACAGAGATAATGAGGAATTCAGAAGATTAGAATTAGAGAGAACACAAAGAATGGGAGCACCTGTGCCATCGCAAATGGTTCTCTAACCATTGGTGACTTTCGTCTCGCGGACCCCAACAGCCTACATCTACCAACATGACTCATTCCACTTGTCAGTGACTTCATGGATTTGTTCCATGTTTTATTCTGGCCGCCTCGAATTATCTCGATGGTTAATACATTTTTGCTACCAATAATACTGCCTTTACAACTATTTCGGTACTCATCTTGATAATTCCCTCTAGCTATGCTAATATGGTGTACAAACTTGAACCAACACAAGTTCTCCATTGCTTATGACTTACTAATTGACCACAAGCAAACATGTACAGCTCCAGAACGTGCTCCAGCTAGGAGCCTTAATCGTCATGTTTACAGAACTTTCATGATTCACAAACTAATCACATTTCACAACCGCATTATGAGCAAACAGGCCATGGGATTCAGATAAATGTATATTGATCTAAGTCTACGACTTAAGGTCCATGCATTTGTCGAAAGAATTAATTCAAATTATTAGGTATTTATCATATTCCTAATAAATTCAAGAATCATACATTTTGTTTATGGAAGTTAGTTTTCAGTTATGGAATCTATGGCACCCATGGAGCATAAAACAGCTGTATTATCCTAAGCTGAAACTCTACAACAGTACACATCCACACCTATTACGCGGTTGAACCTGAGGTCAATAAGCTGAAATCCACCTATTCATATTCTCACTAAATTAGACCTGTAAGATAAAGATACAATCGCAGTCACAAATAAATATATTACATTCCTGCGATGATTGAACTCTACCACTCATGGGTTGTCATTGGGTTTCCAGAAATCGATTTCAAAATGATTTACAGACAAACACATGATTATTGTCATTATGATCACCAACTTTAAAGGAGTTTTCAATTGGTTCTCCAACTGTCAGTTCCTCTTATAAACGAACTTTTATTTTAACATTCACTTGATTTATTAAGTGAAAAAAATGTGTGGAAAATAAAACTATTAGAAAAACATATACATTTGTTCATAAAATAGTATCACGAACAATAATCTCCCATTCGGAAAACAGCCATGAAGAACTAAACTAACAATCAAGTCAACTTGTATCAACACTAAAGCAAATGGGATTTCAATGGTTGAAAAAAAACCAGTCAATAATCCAAGAAGTTTTCTTTATGATCCTTACTTCCTAAATGAGTATCGATTTGTTCTGAAACTTTAAACTTTATCATAGACTGAACTCATAAAATTTTTAAATACTGACTATTAATTCCAGATAATAATTATGGTCCATGGGCTTACTTTCTGGTTAATCAGACAGTTTCAACAAAAGTATAGTAATAACAGCCTTCCATAATGCATCTCTGAACGGTACAAAAATGATTCATAAAATAAAAAGCATTAACCTTGAAATACAATACTAGTTCATTGATGTAAATTAATAAAATCATTAGTCTTTCTTGAATAATTTTCAAATCCAACACAGCCTATTTTAATATTGACTTAGCTTATATTTCATACTGAACAGGTCAGTTGATTCCTGATAATAATCATCAGAAAATAGATAATAAGTTGTCTGCACTAATCAAAAAATATAATTTCAAATGTATCATTAATACGAATCAACTGTATATCATGTCAGGCTAAATGACTTACAAATTATTAACTAATGGGTTTGACACTGTCATGATAAACAACCGAAAGCATCTATGTAACATATACAATTTATAGTAGTTAGCTATGGATCATGTATTCTTTACTATTTCGCTGACCAAATACAATCAAGTGAAAATATGATAATAATGATAAATTTAAATACAAGAATTGTTTCACTTAACAACTTGAACCGTACACGAAAACTAGTCGGATTAGAAAGACATAAAGATACTAATGCAAAATGTCAAAACATTGATGTATGATGTATTAAGTGAACTAGCTTATAGTAGAAATTAACCGTTGAAAGAAGATTTAAATTTAATATGACCTTGAAAAAGATTTTATTCTCTTATGTAGAATATCGTTAAGAAAAAGGGAGTAAGAACTATTTCTAACTCATTGAATGTGATTATTATTATTATTAGTACTTCTAGGCACTAACTTGATAAGTTTGTTCACAATAGTGTATTAGATTAATTTGTTGCTCACTTGAATTGATCATTGATCATTACTTTTCTTATGAGTGTATGTTTTTTACTAATGAGTATAAAATTTAAATTTAAATTTCCAAATTGGATATCTGTATTTACAACTGAAACCGATGAAAAACAGAGATTGAAAACTATTTAACACTTACTAACGATAAGTAAAGTAAATCATAATGTAGAATCTCTTGTCTAATCATGACCTAATCGTAAATTTGCTTAATAGAATTACAAATCAAAGGATAGATTGTTGATCAGATGATTGTTTTATCTCCATTCAATTTTGTTTCATATCATTGTTTATAAAAGTGAATTTAAGTCAACTACAAATAATAACTAACTTGCTCAATTTTCTATCCACTGATATGAAATAATCAATGGAACGTTTTGACGAAGATAATGTCTAGCTACTTCAGATCGATGTCAGTCGATCTGAACTAAACGCTTTCTGTCAGTCAGCCAACTGATTTCGATTTCACATCCTCATTTCTACAAGCATGTACTGTCAGATGTCTACACCTGACAGTATGGATGTGAAATTGTAGTGATTTCAGTATTACCATAGGATAAACTGTAGTATGTTGACTTTATACTGAAAATACTAAAAACCATTCAATCATAATATTCGGAAAATATGAGTAATAATGACTATCTATCTGGTTTCATTTGGTGTACAGTTACTTACTTAGGTAAGTAAGTGAAAATCAAATTCGACGACGATCCCCAAAGGTTTAGTTACTTTTTTGTAAATAACTTAAATTGGAACTATCTATTGCATCTCGTCAACAAAATGGATTTGTGTGTGTACATATTTCAGAATGTGAAACTTCAACAAAAACCACGGTATATAAATGATGATGTGCAAATATTCAGACGTACCAGAGCTCATACAAACCAGACAATAGTAAAAGCCGATGGTACATAAAAGTGAATCGAAAAAGCTTAATCAAATTAAATATAAACGAACTCAAATGTACGCGGAGGCACTACACCATATTAATCATAATAATAATAATAATCATTTTCTCTAATCTTAAACAAATTATTTTTTACCTTGATTATTCTTTGATATTATTAATCTGAGTTAATAACTAAGGAGAACTTGATGAGAATTCATTGAATAAAAGAAACTAGTTTTCGTTTTTTTCAACATCTGTGCATTAATAAAATGCAAATGTTCAAACCATAATTCATCATTTTTTTTAAAAATATTCTCATAAATTTTTTTAATTAAATTATTTGCCTGCACCAAAAGAGTTCACTACATAAACAACTAGTAGTAATAAAAAAAAAGGTCGACTAAGTAATAATTCACATAAAACATGAATTTCTAATCTCTACCAATAAAGTCTGGATTGAATTTATCTGAGAGGATATATATAACTATCTATCTTTATAGTTGATATTTATGCGCCTTAATTATGAAAGGCCAAAAAAAAAATAGATATACACATAGATGATTATAGCTGGAGAAACAGAAAACAATTCTTAAATTTAATGGAAAATTTGACAATGAATTGAAGCACAAAAACTACAAAAATAAACTGAAAATGAATTATGCTGAATTCACACGAATACATACTTTCATATGTACATGGATACATATATATACATAGATAGATAGATAGATAGATATAAACTGACAGAGAGAATTAGAAAGAGAGTGAACATTAACCAATCCAATGATAGTTAGCTTATAAATAGCGTTAAAACATATTACCTAGGAGGTCACAATTTACAACTACCACCCTGTAGTTAGATTGAATCATACACGTAAACAACACATCACAGACATGTACAGATATATATTGTTGAACAAGAAGATACACGAACAGGCTAACATTTATCATTGTTTATAACATTAGAATGTTTGTTTCATTCGTCTATACACCCTTTGTCAGTGAATGATGATTTATGAGCTTACATTTTAAAACATAACATTAAACGATAGGAAATTCTGTCAGCATTTCAACTCAAGCCAGACGATTAGTTAATTTTTCTTTCTCGTTTTTCTCTCACTTCAGTTTTTATCTGACATTGTATTTGTTTAAAAAAGAAAAAGAATATAGCGGTAACTTTGAGCGGTTTATTTACATTTAGAAAAAAAAATCAATAGTCTTGGATTATTGCAGATAAAAACAAAACAAATAACTGTACAATCTAAAAAAAGACTAGTCGAGTGGAATAATCATTAACGTGAAAAGGATCAACCTTGTATGAGTACAGATTAATACAGCTAAACTAGTTTTCAGTCAAAGCACAAATCATAACTATCATTGTGGATATGTTTTATTTAATGATTATATTTAATACTTTTGAATAATACAAATGAGAATGACTGTTTGGTTAAATATTCTACTATTTTTATGTTTGTTTACATTCAGTTCACAACTAAGGGAATTACTTATCACAGATATACCAGATGATAATCTTCAACCAGACAGTTTATTACAGTCTCCAGAGAATAATAACATTAAACAGAAACCTGATGTTGCTGCTGCCGCTGATCATGATGATGATTCAACATCGGTAAATAGATTAAATAAAAATAATCACAATACTGAAGTATATCATCGTCAAACAAATTCTGACTTACGTTTTATCGAAGCATCAAAATCACAAAATTTAAATTATCCACAAACAAATAGAAATTATATGAATACAGATTTAAACACAGAGAATTATAGTCATGAACGATTAAATCAAACTCAGTTGGAACAAACAATTCAGGATATGAATAATAATAATAATAATGACAATATAATGACAACAGAAACATTTGTTGGTCCCGATGGAAAATTACAAATGAGTATATGTGATCATCCAAATGGATTTTTACGTAGACAAAAAAAATTATGTCGTCAGTATTTACATTTAATGGAAAGTGTTATACGTGGCTATTTTATGGGTTTAAAAGAATGTGAATATCAATTTTCTGCGCATCGATGGAATTGTCAAGGTCATAATTTAACCATTCAAACAACACCGCATAGTCGAAAACAGAAACGTCTAAGATATAGAGAATCTGAATTGAAGAATGATATGGATAATTCACGAAGAAAATCTCTACGTATACAAACATACTTAGATAAACTTTTATCAAAAGGTATGTTTGTTATATTAACTTTTTCTTATAAGAAAACGTTGTCAGTACTTTAAGAGTTCAGTTCCGACTGAACTACATACATGTCTGGCCCTATGAATATTTCGTTATTTGGTTGATATATTTGACTTATTTTAAGAAATAACTAGATTCGTACATTATTTCTGATCATTTAACATTCATCAAGATCATTAACAAACAGTGGCAATCAACATTTTCTTAAAGCCTTCTTATTGTGTTAAAATTCAATCTGAAATAAATAACAATGAATAGATGAAAACTTAAATATTTGATTGTATATAAATATTCACTAGCTTGTTATTTCATCGTAGATAACAAACAGTTTGTCAGATCGATAACACAAATCAAAATGATTATTGTTGTTTCAACTTTTTTAAAATGGGAAATTCACAAATTTAACAGACTTGTATAGAAGTAGGACAAAATTATTTACCAATATGCCATTGAGTCAACTTCTATTTCATGTAGTTACGTTACATTGTCCACCTAAGATAAACTAATTGGTTGGCAAGTTTGTATACGATGAATTATATTTCACAAATAACATTATCAGCAATATTATTTAGTGCATTATGGTTTATTATCATATAGAATGGACCCTACAGACTTGAAACATAGTAGTTTTAGGCCAAATAGGGGGCATGTAATGAATCCGATTTACAACTTCAACTGGTTTACGAAATAGGAAGTCGACTATCGACTTATGAAATGTCTTTGATAAGTCACGAGAGATAAAGTTGACTGAGTCGTATGAGAAACAATTACATACCAACAGATGGGAAAAGATTCACGTTATGTACGGAACTGGTCAAAGTTGAAAATGTATGGTGGCAGATATCACTTCGATGTTCCCAGGATGTCTTTAGGATTTCAAATTCATATATGCTCATCCTTGACTAGAACTAAACATTCTTTCAGGTTTCTGTGGTACTCATTTCTTCTATAGCTGATGTTAACACCTGACAAAAACTAGCCCCATATAAATGACCTAACTCAACAGTAGTTAGTTAACAGTTATCTACATCAGATAATGTTATACTATTTTTGTGATATTTTATAACCGTAAGTTTACTAATTTAGTTCAAACAATCTAAACACTGACTGATGATTTCGTTTTGTTTAAAGCAGCAGTTAAGATCCTAAATGATTAACCTGAGTTGTCTAACATAAATACCTACTTAGCTAATAATCGTAAGATAAATGTGTTCAGTCTACTATTAGCAAATGTATCAAATTACATTTAATATTAATTATTTGAAATTGTTTGAAAGAAGGGTTAAATTCATATAAAATCAGCTTAAAATATAATCATATTCACATAGACGATTCTTCTGTGCCACAGTGGAAGATAAACCAAATAATTCGACTGAAAAGTGTATGAGTTTAGAACATCAGTTTGTTGATATCATTTCTATTTCAGGCAGAACAAAATCTTACACACTACTTGTTCTCGAGGGCAATCAAATTATTGTTTCATTCACAATAGATAGTAGATAGTTTTTTGTCGTGTAAATAAAACAAGTATCATTTCATAAATGTTTTTTTTTTGAATTTCAACATGATGAGATTATTCTTACTTTGCTGATTTATATGGATTATCAAACTACCCGTATGTGGAAATATAACAGTAATCAATATCCTGTTGTTTTTTAGTCCCTAGCGTTAATCTATTGTATAGATAGAATTGTTATTAGTTTAAACAAATCAACACACTGATGCACTCTGTCAATAGTAGAATCTATGATGCTCGTCATAGATATGCTTGCATCTCAGTGTTTATGTGAAATTTGAAACTCATTAACACGTGAATTAAGATTTCCTAGTTATAAATTTTCAGTTTTTGCTTATTAGTATTAAGGATGAATGAATAATTATTTGCAATTTCGAGTAGAAGCAGAATCCCAAAGTATTATGAAGTTTGCTTTTTGCATATTGATTGACGGCACATATAAATAATGACACTAGTAGATGTTCTTGTATATATTCTTATAAATATAGTTAAATTGAATCAAATAGTTTATCTTATTCATGTCATTTGAATGGGGATAGATCATTAAAATTACTACAGTATTAAGTCATGTTTAAGCAAATTGATCAAGAAAATAAACTTGTGCGATTTAAAAAGGGAAACTCAAAAAGAATTCGTTGCAAAATGATGAGCATTGTAATGCTTTAATTAATAGAAACATTTTAATTTTTATATTGTATAGGATAGTAATGACAACTATTTGTTGGCTATAGAATTTCATACTTACATTGTGGTTCTTCTTATCACCTGATTATTAAGTTTATGAAGTTAAGGAAAAAATACCTTTAACAATTTATCGCAACTATAGAAATAGTGTTTTAGGCAGACACACAAAAAAAACAACAACAGAAATATGGTATTTCACCAATTTCAGGACATGATGTAACCGATAAATAAAGGTTCAATTTCAGGAAATTAAATTAAATTAAACTGCTAGAATTTAAAATAATATTTAGGCGGTCTATTGAAGTTCCATCCATGTTGTAGTCTATTCTACTAAAGTTAAAAAACTGTAGTTGATAATAAATGATGCAGTATTATTGCTTTTTTAATGACTGTATAGTTTGTATTATAAGTAACAATAAGTAGAGAACTGATCAAGTTAGACATTAACGCCGTTAGATACTGACTCAGTGGTCAGATGGTTAGGCGTTCGCCTACAATACCGAAGGTCCTGGGTTCGAATCCTGCGGGGTGCAGGTGTCGTGGATGCGCACTGCTGAGGAGTCTCATACCAGGACGAAACGGCCGTCCAGTGCTTCCAGGTTTCTAATGGCAGTCCACCAATGATCGATTCATGGTTTCAAAAAAAAATAAGTAGAGAAAAAAACTATTTATTGAGATTGTTAGTCAAATAATATAAGTATGAATTCTGTAGAATATATATATCAACCGGATTTCTCTTAATCTATATTCCTTTAATTAGGTTAACACTGCGATATCTTAGAATAAATTAATCTTATAGATAAAAGAGAGACAGTGTGAGTGTTGGTTTTTACTAGTGAAATATGAATTAACCTAATAACTAAAGACAATCACTAATAATTACACTGATAATTTCAACGAAATCGAATATTTCGTGGATAAGTTAAGATTTAAAAACAATCAGAATCGACCTGCAATGAGTAGAAATGTAATTTTTTGAAATCAAAAATGTTTTAATCACATAGTTTAATAAAATCTATGGAATAAAATACATGTATGGGTTGAAAAAATGTATAGTGAGATGAATATCGATCAGGCTATAAGGAATCTTCTCTCTCTATACAGGAGCATGAAAATCCATCAACTTTTATTGAACTGTTTTTTTCGCCTTCATTCTTGATATTCTTACTGATTTATTCATAAACAAATTTATTTGAAGAAATCAGTTGATAATCAAATGACTTTTGCACAATTAATTATTCTGAAATCATCATTTTTTATGACACAATAATAATTGATATTGATCATTGTTGAACAATGAAAAACGAATTGACACTTTGAACAATTGAATAATTTAATAGCAAATATAGTGCTTTATTGGCAAATGACCGACCACTGACTGCCTCGACGAGCTATGTTTTGTGGTGTAGGAGTAGGTTGGAAGAAAGGTAGGGGCGACCAGACCAAAACATGGCAGAAATCCATGAAGTCACTGACAAGTGGACTGAGTCATGTTGGTAGATGTAGGCTACCTGATTGGGGTCCGCGAGATGTTAGTAATCGATGGTTAGATACCTTAAATGACATGGCTCAAAATCATTTGCAATGGCGCCGGTGCATTTACTCTTTGTGTTCTGGAAAATTGCAATCTTCTGAATTCCTCATCACCTCTATCTTTCTTCTTTTAAATTTGCCTCACTGAATTACACTTCTTGAATTATATCTTTGAACCCTAATCTTCTCTATTACCAGCAGCACTCCTACTATCTCTACTACTATGGGATTTGAATTGACGATTGCGTCTCTATGCTAATGTGGTATGGCAACCTGAACTGATGTACTTACGTACGAAGTTCTACGTTCCATCTGACTGACTTATTGGCGAGTATAATTTAACTTACACATTCTCAGACAAAACTTTAAAGCTTATAGTATACAATGAAAATGTTTGTCATTATAGATTGAAAAAATATTATGATTCTATCAAAAAACAAATGATAAGTAAGCAGTAGTATATCGATTTTGTGCAAATCACTGATAACTAGTTTAGTTTCCTCATAAAATTCTTACTCATTTAAATAGTAAATATTCAGGTAAACATAATCGAAGATAATCAATCTAGTGCACATGTTTTATTTTTGAAAAGTGTTACTATAACACATTGATTCGTTACTGATTAAACGAACTATTTTATCATTAATTATTGTTATTTAAGATAACATGAGACTGAGATAAAAAAAAATCTACTCAGACAAAGATTTGAATATATTTTTTTAACGGTCCATCGGATTGTAGTTCTAGTCGCCAGATAACTAAATTCCAATTCATCAATACATCAAGAATGACTTCACTTATAGATTTTGATGTTTCAATGAAAAATTCAATATGAGATTATCTTTAATTCTAAACAATTAGTTAACTGGAACATTTTCAGAAAGAAATGAAAACAATAACTTTTTAAGAGCAAGCTACAGTATTGTGGTGGTGTTTCACTCTCTGAGCTGAATGTTTCGGTTGTGAAGCTTTCATTGTTCTTCTGAACAACATCATCAGCAGCACAAACTTCAGCATTCTGAAATAAATATAAGTAAACTTGGATTGGTTGAACTGACAGTACTCATTTTGTACAATAAATTACCCTCTTTAAATTTGTTCATAATTTCTTTATAGATATTATTGAAAATTAAAGATTAGTATTATCAGTGTGCGACAACACTGTCGTGATAAAATGATCACGAAATCTATACAAAAAGAAAACAACTACCAGTTGGTTGGGTTGTTTTAAACCCTTAACTGCCTACCGTATTCA